GGGGTAGGGGACCAGGGTGATAAAAATAGCCTAGTCAGAGTTGGGGGTACGGGGCTGGGGTGAGTGGCTGGGCTCTCCCAGCCCCAGAGCTGTGTGCAGCATTAGCTAGATCAGGTTAACCCTTTCTGGACCTAAATTAGTGCACCTCCTGAGGTGAACTAACTTAGGATGGGCACACCATTTTTGGCTGATTTAAACCCTGTGAATTCCTGCATGAGTGGGCATTTACATCGACCTAATCCTGGTTACGTCAATTTAAATGTAATGCTTGTACATACCCTACAGTACTGTTCATCAGTGCTCGGGGTGCTAGGACATAGGGCTTTGGCTTTTTAACTATGAAATTCAGTGCCATGGGCCTAATCTAGCTGCCCTGTGAAGTCAGTGGTGGAGGGGATCCCAAGGTAAGGGGAGGAAGAGATCTGGAGTTCTGTTTCAGGAGAATGGCTTATTCCAGTCTGCTAAAGCAGGGAACCCAATATTTTTTCAGTGTTACCAGGAGAATGATAACACTAGAGCCTATTTCCTAAACGCTTTCTTGACGTAGTCAGTCTGCTATTATTTTTAGCTGCTTGCGTTTCTCTTTCTAAGCTCTCAGAAAATCAAGCTGTAGTGCAAGCGTTGATTAAAGCTGAAGGATAACAGGCTTAAAACGCAACATGCAGCCACAGCAACACTTGCATTCTTAAAGAGATCCCCCCCGCCCCCGCGTGTGCTAGAGAAGCCTGTTTCAATACAAAAGAACAATTATATTAAGCTGCTGCTTCATCCATGCACTACCAATGCTTCTCATATCCGGTTGTGTTGCGACCATTTTCTTACACAGTGATTGTCAACCAGGGTAACACCCTTTTAAGGTCTAGCCTGGAGTGTTGTGCAATATTAGTGCTGTTAGGTGTGCAAACACCTACACGTGATTCACAAGCTCAACCCAGAGATTTCAGATCGGAATCCACAGTAGCCGTCTTTCTGAGGTCTTTGAAATAGAAGAACTGCTCTATTATTTTTCCATAGTCAACAAATGAATGAAAACCAAGAGCTAGCACTTACTGTGGGGGGCACAAAGAATAGTCAGCACAAGCACCAATCAATCATCACATCATCTCTGAACCTACAGTCAGTCAACCAAGATTTAACTGGCCATGCTGCTAGTGGACACTTTTCAACCATTTTTTAACTCGATAGGGTCACTGTGCCTCAAACCTATACCAATGGGGCCTTCGCAATGATAACAAATGCCCTTGTGGACAAATTCAAACCATGTCCCACATTGCTGACTTGTGTCCCTTTACTATCCTACCTGGTGACCTTCAGGCTCTTATCACTGGTGATGACATCATTTTAAGATGGCTGAAACAATATACTGAAACCATATATGCAAAATAAATAAATATTGAGGGATGCCTCAAATCTAACAAGGGATGTCTTAAGTCTAAAAAGGTTAAGAACAACTGGTCTAGCACTTTGGTGCAATCAGTGGCATATCTGGATGTACCAGGAGAGTCCAGCAGCATGGCTAGTGCCTCTCTACATCACCTTCCACATTCTTGGTGTTAGAAAAGAACCTCCATCCTCTACACCTCAATCTTTTTACTCAGAGTTTATATATTGAATTATCTGCCCCTCTCCCCATCAGTGGAGTTCTGGTCCCACAAATGCATTCTATAGTGTTTTGTTCAATGCAGTTTTGAACATCCCCAGAGACAGGAGCTTCTATCACTTCCCTTTCCATCCACTGTTTTACAGCAGAGTCTATTGCTCTATCAATTCCCTGATATTCTTTCTCTTTTCAATAAGAAAGCAGGTGTTGGATAGATGGGAATTTTTCCTTCTAATGTGATGTTCCCAGGTAAATGTCTCACTTGGTTAAGATCTGAGTATGTTTATATCTTAGTTTACTTCCTTACATGGCAGTATTCACAAAAGACTAAGAAATAGTGAGGCAGAGAACTGAGCAGAAATCACCCTGCATGGCAGGGGGATGTGAAAACTTGCCCATAGGTTGTTAAAAGGTTTTTACTCTGCACAGCCATTTTCTTCTTCAGCACCCCAGATACGGGGTTCATGGAAATTAAAGAAGGGAAATAGCCTTTCCTTCAGAACACATTACACACAGGAAGATCCTCACTAGTCAGAGCTGAGCCCTGAACATCTGTAGCTGTTGCAACCTCCTTCCTCAAGTTCTAGATTTACAATGAACCCAGATGCATTTCCAAACCATATCTACTAGTCTCAACACCAGTGCTGCCCTTACCTTTTTAAGTGGCTGTTATGGTTAGAAGACAAATCTGACAACAAAAACAGTCAAACAAAGCAGTACTTACCACCAGTGCTCAGTAACAGACGTCGCCTCCAGCCCAGCTGATCCAACCCCATAGGTGTACTCTGGGAAAGGGGTAAGGAGCGACATCTGTCCAACAAGATTTTAAAAGGAGGTGCTTGTGGTGATGGATGAAGAGGATGACACAGAGGCTGGAAAGAAACAGATTGGGAGGCAAGGAAGAAAAAATTACTCACCAGTGCTTAAGAAACATCAAAAAAATCAGTCCTTTTACCGCAATGTGAAGGCATGCACATTTTTCAAGATATTGGATCCATTTTAATATCCCCCTGCAGTTTCCAAACAAATCAGTGACCTCTTAATTGCTTGAAATAGAAAGATTAGATTTTCTGGCTCAAGCAACTGATAAGAAAATAGAGACTTTCCTCTCTAGTAGGTCATTTCTAATAGGGTACTTGAATTCAGACAGAGATGCAAAAGTTTCAAAGGCACATAAATTCTATTGACTTCCAATGGAATTTAGGCTGCATGGCCTCCCAGGCATTTCTAAAAGCCAAAAAAGTCAATAATGAACAAACATTGTTCCTTCTCAGCACCTCTTTGTTGGCCAACATGAAACAAGTAGTTGTTCATTCAGTCCTGCTGATAAATCTTAGCAATCACCCACAATCAGTGTTAATGGCCACCTTGAAAAGAAGGGTTAATTAATGAATGGTAATTGAATGGAACTATAATGCCCTTTGGACTGGTCCCTTCAAAGTTTGGAAGCCACACACAACTAAGGAACTGTGTACATTTTGCACTGTCTTTGTTTCAGCCACAGTGAAAGAAAAAACAACACTCCCTGGTCCTGGTTAATAATATCTAACATTACAAATATCAACTACAAACATAATTTAAGATTGCTAACAAACCAAGGACCAAGCCAAAAACTAAGAGAACTAGGATCTACAGGCAACCCCCCCGCCCCCAGTGCCAATAAAACCCTATCTAAACCTTAGCAATATTTGAGGTGTTGTGTATCATGTTAATATAACATCTATACAAAAGTGAATTATGTTCGTAGTAGAATCTCATCCCCTGAGTTCTAAATATCTTACAACCAACCCCAGCTCCCTTGCCAGTCATTTGTGAGGGCCATATTAGATCTTTTCAAATGCAACAAACTGGGTGCATCTACACATATGCTTTAATGTGCAGTAACCTATTCTACAGCTCATTAAAGTGGTGCATAAAAAACATGCTATTATGCTAATGTACAGTAAAATAGGCTACTGAGCATTTAGTGTCACCTAAAAAGTGTCACTTGTGCTAATGTGCATTAGGGCAGCCTAACACGCATTAATTTAGTACCTCACATTGGAGGGCACTGTGATACATGCTCTAGGGGTTGGGGGGAGGTGGGGTGCTTTAATTAGAGTGGCTCCAAGACCTACTCTAATTAAAGTGCCACAGTGTCTCATGTATCAGCATCCCCATGCTTCAAAATGGGGGTGGGGACATGTGAACTAAAGCTCATCCAACAAGTTTGTAAACATATGTTGCAGCTGTAGACTATCCTACTCCTTTAAGAATCAAATCCAGTAGCTTTTGCCTCAGTCAAGTCTCACCATGAACGCTGCATGCCCCCGGAGGCTGGGGTGGAGAGCACAGAGAGCTCCTGCAGGCAGTGGCAGCACTGTTGATGGCAGGAGCGTGGCGGCAGCAAGCAGGGAGCAACCGCAAGCGGTTGCCATGCTGTCGGGGGGGGGGGGGGGGGGGGAAA